CCGAGGTTGGAAATCCTGGGAGTGCAGCGCCTAGGCTAGGATTGCAGAGGAAGCTGAGGCCTCCAGCCCTGCACAGGAAGCAATCTTAGAGCAGGCCTTAAATGCCAGATTCCAGGCAGAGTTTAACTAACCACTGACAGCTCTGTAAACAAAGCAGGGACAAAAAGAGAACAGCTTTCCCTTTTCTGGTAGTCATTTTTGGTTTGGGGGCTGCAGGGGGAATTCTGTAATACTCGGCTTGATGGGATATAAACCAAGGCTGGAAAGGCTTTGTATATGAAGAGCTGTAAAGGGGAAAATATTTCATGGACTAAATCATAAAGAAGAAGGTAGGGCGCGGGGAAAACGCGTGGATTAAACTACAAAAAAAATATTGCTACTTTTGGTTCTTTGAGCAGGATTTATACATAGTTTGGCGGCTCCTGGGTGGTATTTAAAAGCTGCGGCTTATTTTCCTTCTTTTCTTTTCTTTTCTCTTCTCCTTCTCTCTTCTTTTATCTTTTTTTTCCCCCCTCTTCTTTTCTCTTTCTCCTCTTCTCTCTTTTCTCTTACTTTTCTTTCTTTTCTCATTTCCTCTTCTGTTTCTTTTCTCTTTTTTTTTGAAGGGGGGTGGGAACGGAGAGACAAGGACTAACTTTTGCAAAGCTTTTAATTATCTGTGCAACTAAAGAAAATGAGAAATCTCGTTGCGGAGCTTTTACTGCTTCCAGTAAAAAAAATATGGAAGCTTAAAGTTAAAATCCTGCTGAATTGTTGCTTTTGTTTGTAGAAAAGACCTGTGACGTTACAAATAGCTAGTCTGCGGCTAGCAGATGTATACAGTTCTTACTTAAAGCATGTTGATTTCATTTTAACTAGGAAACTAAACGCAGGCATGGGCTATGTTTATCCTACAAGGCATTTCATTAATGTTGTTTATCTCAACAATACTGAGGAAGTTAAATTTTTTGATGGGAAAGGAAAATAGTTACAGTGAAGTTAAGAAAGCAAAACAAAACTAAATGGACTCGGTTGGTTAAACGCACCCATTGTGTTTTCTCTCTCATCTAAGTGGTCATCTCCCTTTTAGATTTGGATCTTTCCAGAGCTCTGAACACTTGAACACCCACCATGGATGACTTTGAACGCCGCAGAGAACTCAGGAGGCAAAAGCGTGAGGAAATGCGCCTTGAAGCAGAGAGGTGAGGTGTTACGTATGGAAAATGGTGTCGGTGGCTTGCCTTTGATTAGCAGTGGCTTTGAGGATTTCTGTCTTAAATTCCAAAGTATACTACAGCTAACCAAAGAGTCCTTGCTAACAATATGTACAGGTAAACAGCTTTGGTTAAAATTGTTGGAGAGGCTGGATGTCGGGGGGGTCTAGTGTCTAATTCCCTCAGGCTGCTGCAAATACTCTGCCTTCTAGTTATTTTGTTATATGGATAAATGTAAACAGTGAAGGTGGACTATGGCCATGTGAATTGATAGGAAAACTCATGCTCAGATGCCATGTGAGTCTGTGCTGTGCAGAAGGATTGTGCTTGTCTTTTCAGACAGAGCTAAAATTATATCAACTAAAAGCTGAGATATGCTTGGTATAGGTGGTAAAGCATATCTGTGAATTGTCTGCCACTGCTGTGCAATTGCTGTTGTGTTTGTACTGCTTCTCCCTTTTTATTCATTTATAGCCACTTTATGTGAGCAACAAGGGCAGCGTTTGCTATCGGTTATTACAGATTTACTTTGGTGCAAATGAGAACAGAACTTGACGTGGGTACAATGATGTCAATTTATGAAAGAAGCAGCGTGAAAATACTGGGAATGACATTTTATTTAACTAACTCCATTTTACACCTGTACAGTTCTGTTTGCTGTAATGGAATTTCCCATTATTTACACTGGAGTTAGCAGGGAGAAAGTCAGGCTCCGTTTTTTATTTTTTGGTAATGTTGTCTTTGATACAAAGATTTGATTTAGTTTATTAACACTGCAGTGATTTTTAAAAATATGGAACTTAGGTTCAAGCACTTTTTGTTCTCATTTTTGTATTTAATTTTAAATACGGACTTTATTTTAATTTCTGATCTTTCCCGTGCGCTGACAAAACCATAATGTTACAGATTCTGAATGCTGTAGGTGAAAATAGGTTTTCAGTTTTAAATGGCAGTCAGCAGAATGCAATACCAGATCTATTTTGTATGACTGCTTTGAGCTTATTTAATAAGGCCCTGCTGCATAAGCAGGGCTCTGTGATGGACATTAATGGTACCTGGGGGGAAATCCTGTGCAGATGAGACGCAATAGCCGCCTTTCTTTCCAAAAGGAGTGTTGCCAGGCAGAGCTGGGTATGTGTGCTCTCACCAGGCTCTGAGCTGAACCTGAGAGCTCCGGAAAAGGAGCAGCGTTGCCTGCAGATAAATAAACTCATGCAAAGTGTGGTGGCCAAAGGGAAATGAGGCCACCGCCTCCCTTTGCAGCCATCACCTGGTCGGTGACCTACCCCAAAAGGCAGAGGAGCAAATGTCCTGTGGCACTGAGCTGCCTTCTCATCCCAGAGGGTTTCCTCCTGGGCTTGGGGAGATATATTTTTGTTGGGCAGCGGGAGAGGGATTGCAGAGCTTGTGCCAGTGAACGGTACAGCACTCAGTATTTATATACTTCTAGCATAATTCTGCTTTAAGAAAAGTCTTTTTTTATGGAAGGGCAGAGGACTTAGGGTTTGTTGCTAACAGAGGCCCTGGGCAGCCTGTGGAGGATGCTGGGGGGTGGGAGGGTGTAGTCCAGGAGGTGTTTTCTGCTTTGGAAAAATGTCACTTGAACTTCCCCGTGAAGGCATCCAAGATCTTATGTGAGTGTGCAGAGGCCGTGGGGTGGCCTGGGCATTGGTGACATGGCGTGGCCAGCTTGCAGGGGCAGTGATAGCCATGGTGGGGGAGGATGGGGATGAGGGTACTCTGCCCTTGTCACCATGGAAGCTGAAATCCAGGATTTCAGGTTGTGTCTGTAAGTCACTGTGATTTTATGCATTGGCCCAACTCCTCCGATCCCTGATCGCTCATGGGGAAACTGGAGCCCTGGGGAGGCAAAAGCCACCAGCAGCAACTCGCTGGTGTCCCTCAAAGGAGCCATCCCCAGGGAGCCCTGCCGGCCACCAACAATACCTGCCCATGCCTGGTGGGGACGCCAAGAGGTTGGGCCAGAGAGTGATGGCTGCTGATATGGGGAAACCACCCTCTCCCCACCCACTCACCCACCCAGGCCTGCTTTTGGGGAGTGTTTTTGCCACATCTGGGGTGGCTTTGCTGGGATTTTGGGTGTTAAACTCGGTGGAGGCGGCAAGCTGGGTGGCAGCCTGGTTGGAGGAGAAGGGCTCGGGCCTGTCCTCCCTGTTTTCTGCCGGATGGCTGCAGAAGCACTCCCTGCCCTTTCCCACACATTTTGAAGGCTTTTTAGCAATAAATTGCTGTACTCTAAATCTTGCTGTACTCCCTCTGCTGCTGCCAGCGTCAAGCATTCAAGTACCATGAGTCAGACCCCTTAAAAGTCACAAGACTGCTTTAAAAAAAAAAATCTCGAGATCTTCAAAATAATTTAGTCTGGCCTTTTTTGTTTTTGGTTTGCCTTAACAATAACAGAGCCTGATTCTCAGGTTCAGATGCGGCTCTGGGAGCTGGGACCTCCTGGAACCTGCCCCCAGCAGGGGTGGCAGCGGGGAGGAGCTGAGCATCCACCCCCGTTGCATTGCGCTGCTCAGTTATTAACAAATGAGGATGTCACACTGGGTTCTTTTTTTTGGTGAATTCCTATTTTTAGGGAAATTTTAGGGATCTTCTTCACCTTTAAAAATACGACTTCAACGTGTTTGTGTACATCTCAACCCACAGCAAACTGCTCGCCAGACCTCCCTCTGTCCGAATGCTTGCAGGTGTTTTATCAAGTGAATTGTGTGGTCGGTCCTAAAGAGCAGCATGGAGGCTAAAAATGTTTCATCAGCTCTGAGCACTGGTACCTGCTTCTTAGGCATGAGGGCATTTTCCTGCCAGTCCCATCATGGGGCTGTAGCCATGCTATGGGAAAACCATTGCTGGTTGTGTAAGCATTTCCAACGGGAGGCGAACAGGCGGATGATGACGTGTAGGCTGTAACATGTTTTCTAGGTCTCCCAGACACTGTTTAGGCTTCTTTTGAGTTGAACAGTAAACCCAGAAGTGCAAGCAGCCGTATCAAACTGCAGTATTTGTATCTCAGCCAGCTCCAGTGACGCATTTTGCCGTTTCCTGGGATAAAGGCACAGGGAAAGCCTGTCTTCCCAGCCTGACGCCTATGCCCAAAAGAGATTGAGGGGTGAAGATGCCTTGTTGCAGCATGGACTCATGTACCACATGCCTGAGAGGGAGTGACTTGACCTTTTGGTGTCTTTCTTAGGGGCCAGAGGCTGTGTGAGGAGCGGTCAGGATACATGTGCTGTCAGCTTCCCAAGTGTCAGTCATGCTGGAGCCACTCGTGTCCAGCCACTGATGTCTAATGTTTGGACATGCTTAGTGTGAGTTCAATCCTGGAAGGCTGATAGATTTTGTGTTCTGGATGGTTTTTTCTATTAGAAAGCTGCTGGAAATGCTGCTTTGTTGTGCTGTGTAGCCCTGGCATTCTGGGTTGATACGTTTCGGACTGATCCCGAGGAGTGGCTGGTTTTGTCTTTTAAAGACCAACAGTGCTTTTCACCTCTGGTATGTGCTTTGGCTAGTAGTTCATGCTGTGGCAACAGAGACTAAGATTGCCACCAACCCAGAAAGCTAGTGGTTAATTTGGCATTTTAAGCTTTTACCATCTCAAGGTATCCCACATGTCCTGGATTCCCCCCACGGGCTTGATGTACCACCCAGAAATTTTCTCCAGCCAGAAATTTTTTTACTATTTTTATTTCTTTGGGATCTCTGGAGGCCTATCAACATGTTTGGACTAGCAGTGCAGACCTGTCTAGGGGGCATGTGGCCAACAGCAGGCATATGGGGCTTTGTCCAGCTTTCTCCCAGGCTGTCAGATTTATTGCTTGCTCTCAGGCTGGCAGGAACCCAGCAGCTCTTGTACCTCATGGGGGGAACCAGGATTTCCAAGCATAGGCTGGGAAACCCAGGACAAAGTGTGGCAGTGTTCACTGTGCCTGTCTGCTAGCATTTTGCACGTGATTCGTACTGATCAGATGCAAGGTCAGGGAACATAAGACCCTACCAACCATAGATGGGATGTGCTATGTCTCTAACTGCTCCGTGGCAAAGCCAAGGCTTTATCCTGCTCCTCAGAGCCAGAGGAAGTCCTGCACCTGGGATGGTGGCTGTATGAAGCCCAGAGGTCCTGGTCCAGAGCTGGCTGAAGTCAGCAGGAAGCTTTCCACCGATTTCAGTGGGCTTTGGATTAAGCCCTACCTGAGTTATTCCAGCCAGATGATTTATAAGACAGTCTCAGTGGCAGCCTTGAAAGAGCTGGATGAACGCTTTCCCTTCCCAGCCACAGGGAACATACCGTGCTGGAGTTATTGGGGCCATCACAGAAATGGGTTGCACTTAACTGACAGGAAAAATCCCGTATGTAATTGAAGCACGGGGGATTGACTTCTTTCAACAAGGGAAAAAACAAATGCCACCTGCTGCTTTGTGCCTCTTCCTAGGCAGTAAAAGATGTTCTCTTGAACAAAACCATCAGGTTTTGTCATTTTGGTGTTGTAACTGACACTGGAAGAATTTAGCCTGGGGCTAGGTAGAGAGCGTGTGTGTGTCTGGAGGGGTGGTGCTTTGTGAATATCCTGCTGATGCACTTTGGTCTGTCACAGCTGCGTGCAGCTGCAGTGAAAAATTGAGGTGAAATGCTTCTTGAAGTGACAATAGACCTACTTCCGTGACTTCAGCATAATTGAGAGCAAAAATTGGCCCCTTGACTCTCTGAAGAATAGCTCTCAGGGTAATCTGTTTAGCACTTCAGCTACAATTTTATGACTAGCTGACTTGCCATTGCCCCAGCAATGTATTTTCACCTCTCCCTGGTGTTGGGGCTCTTTTAAAAATCGTGCTAGGAAGCCGATCCAATTTACTTCATTGCCATACCATCACTACTGCAGACTTGAAGGAGGTCTTAGAGTCATGGTCAGACTGGTGTCCATTCAGCTGAAGCTTAACTTTGAATCCGAATCACAGCTTTTCCCTGTGCA